AGAGACAGACTGGTAAACCTTTGAAGTGTCTTCGCTCAGATAATGGATGGGAGTACTCTTCCCATGAATTCAAGAATTATTGTGCTGATCATGGAATCAGGCATGAAGAAACTGTACGTGGAACCCCACAACATAATGGTGTGGCTGAAAGAATCAATAGAACCATTATGGAGAAAGTGAGGTGTATGTTAAAGATGGCTAAACTACCTAAGCCATTTTGGGGTGAAGCTGTTCTAACAGCGTGCTACCTGATCAACCGATCTCCATCTGTTCCTTCGGGCTTTGATATCCTTGAGAGAGTATGTTCCGGACATGATGTTAAATACTCTCATCTAAAGGTGTTTGGATGTAAAGCTTTTGCTCACGTAAGCAAGGAACAAAGACGAAAACTTGATGATAGAGCCATTCCTTGTATATTTCTGGGCAATGGAGATGAGGAATTTGGCTACAAGTTGTGGGATCCAGAAAATCAAAAAGTTATCAGAAGCAGAGATGTAGTGTTTTATGAGCAAGAAACTATGTCTGATTCTGCTTCACTAGAAATTACAGAACCAAGTGGTAAGGTGGATCTTTCACCTGTCAAACCTCCTGGAGATGCCACAACAGGGGGAGAGTGTGATGGAGAACTCAGGGTTGATGATGAGCCAGCAACAGAAGATGGTGATGGTGAAGGTGTCGATCAAGAAGAGCTCGAAGCTCTGCCTCAGCTCAGGAGATCAAATCGAGCGATCCAACCATCTACGAGATACCCTAGTTCCACGTATATTACCATCACTGAAGAAGGGGAGCGAGAAAGCTTTGAAGAAGTACAGACTCATAAGGATAAATCCCAGTGGATGAAAGCTATGCAAGAAAAAATGGATTCACTGGTGAAAAATGAAACTTATGAGCTTGTGAAGCTTCCGGAAGGCAGGAAAGCCTTGAAAAATAAATGGGTGTTCAAACTTAAGAAAGATGGTGACAAGTTGTTGAAATACAAGGCTCGCTTAGTTGTGAAAGGATTTGGACAAAAGCGAGGAATATATTTTGATGAGATATTCTCTCTGGTTGTGAAGATGAGCTCTATTCGAGTAGTACTCGGATTGGTGGCTAGCTTGGATCTAGAGCTTGAACAACTAGATGTGAAGACTGCATTTCTTCATGGAGACCTAGATCAAGAAATCTACATGGAGCAACCAGAAGGATTTGAGAAAACTGGTAAGGAGCACATGGTTTGCAGATTAAAAAAGAGCTTGTATGGACTAAAACAAGCTCCAAGACAGTGGTATAAGAAATTTGACACGTTCATGGCTAGTCATGGATATACCAAGACTGATGCAGATCATTGTGTGTTTGTGAAGAAATTTCCAGGTGATAAGTTCATTATCCTTTTGTTATATGTAGATGATATGTTGATAGTGGGACAGGATATGAAGCTGATTGGTGATTTGAAGAAGGACTTAGCAAAGTCCTTTGATATAAAGAATCTCGGCCCTGCGAAACAAATTATGGGCATTCAGATCACGCGAAACCGAAAATCCAAGAGGTTATGGTTATCGCAAGAACGGTATGTGAATCGGATTCTGGAGAGATTCAACATGAAATCGGCTAAACCAGTTAATACACCGTTGGGCAATCACTTTAAACTTAGCAAACGAAGTTGTCCTACGAATCCAGAAGAAAAAGAAGCTATGGCGGGTGTTCCATACTCCTCGGCAGTCGGGACTTTGATGTATGCCATGGTTTGTACTAGACCAGATATCGCTCACGCGGTTGGAATTGTTAGCAGGTATCTTTCCAATCCTGGGAAAGATCATTGGGAAGCTGTGAAGTGGATCTTGAGGTACCTAAAAGGCAGTGCAAATAAGTCCTTGAGCTTCGGCAAAGGAAACCCAATTCTTGAAGGTTATACAGATGCGGATATGGCAGGTGACCTGGATAGTAGGAAATCTACTTCAGGGCTTGTGTTTACATTTGCAGGAGGAGTTGTATCTTGGCAATCTAAATTACAGAAATCTGTTGCCTTGTCGACTACTGAAGCAGAATATATTGCAATGACAGAAGCAGGAAAAGAAATGCTTTGGTTGAAGAAGTTTCTTCAACAATTGGGAATGAAGCAGGAAAGGTACGATATCCATTGCGATAGTCACAGCGCATTGGATTTAAGTAAGAATGCGATGTACCACTCTCGAACGAAGCACATTGATGTCAGATATCATTGGTTGCGCCAAGCAGTGGAAGAACAACAGTTCAAGTTGGAAAAGATTCACACTGATGAAAACCCTGCTGACATGATGACGAAATTTGTAACAGGAGGAAAACTTCAGCTTTGTGTCGAGTTGATCGGCATGGAATGCAAGTAAAGAATTGCAGTATATTTCTCTTTGGCTGGAGGGGGAGAATTGATGGGTCCAACCAATAAACAAAAGCTGCCCACCATTTCTGAAAGAAAAATGAAAGCATTCACATGGTGGCTACAGTAAAAGCCCACCGCAGTTTTTTTTTCTTGTTCACATTGCTCAATCCCCTCTATAAATAGAGGGGGATTCATTCTGAAGCAAACACACCAACACCAAAAGAAAAAGAGCAGAAAAGAAAAGAGAGAAAAAAATAACATTTTGTGAGTGTTATTTTTCAGTGAGATAAAAATAGAGTGTTTGAGTAAATCCTGTGAGTGTGAGAAAAATACACCGGGTTGGGTATCAACTCTATTACTTCTTGTTTAGGAGTGGGATCTCATTGAGTCACTATATTTTACATTTTTAGTGTAGGGGAGTGTGAAAAGATATTGTAATTATCTTGAAAATATAGTGGAATTGTTCGGAGGTTGTCCCGTGGTTTTTTCCTCTACTTTGAGGTTTTTCCACGTTAAATATTGGTGTCTTATTTCTTGCATATTTTATTTATTTGGGATATTCTTAGTATGCTCTGTGGTCGCAGTTTAATCTGATCTTCCACATCAGAAAAGAATTATTCCGATTTTATTGCAAGATATTATTTTTCTTTTGTCATTCTTTGGGATTATTATTCACCATTTTACCTCGGTGTTTTAATTTATACCTTCCGCATTTGCGCATCTGAGCCCAACAATAACCCCAACTCTGCTAAACTGGGTCAATCTCCTGATGAGTGAGCGAACTGCAAAAGTCGAACGGTTTAGATCGGTCCAGGTTCAATACATCCTTAGCTCGACTGGACTAGGTTTGAACGATCGGAGTTATTTTGTAAACATGGAGTAAAGCTAAAAAAAACCCTAGTTGAAAAAGGCAAATTTTATCGTAGTTGGCTCGACTGTCCATGGTTTATTTATTTTCTTGACTAATTTTAGAAATAAATAGTGGAAGGTAGCCTTTGATAAACATTACATGTGATAATTTTAAAATACATGGTGTTGCTTGTATATAAATTTACTTAGTTTTAATTGAAAAAGTTAGTTGAGTTAGGTTTGAGTGAGATTTTGAATTTGTATTAAAATAACATAAAATAAAACGATTAAAGTTGTTTAACCTAAAAGTAAGAAATGATGATTGTAAGTGATGAGTAGTTAAAATTATGTGAACAGATTAATTGTGCGTTAGAGTTGATATGATATATGAAGGTAAATTTATTTAAACTCCTCACATTAAATCACATTACCCTTTTCAATGGTTACAAGATACATAATTATATTCTAATTGTTGTCCATTATGATGTTTACTACTTCATTAGGATGTTTACTCATGACACCTCAAATTACCTTTTTAGTGGTTACAAGATACATAATTATATAATAATTGTTGCCATTATGAGATAAAATGATTCTTTATTCATTAAGATTTGCTTATCACACCTTAACACCATCATTTATTGCTCATATATACTTTCAATATTGACACTATATAACCAATAATTAGCTAAATTTGGACATTTAAGTTGAGAATTATATTCCCTCCTATTTTTTTTAAATATCATTCTAGCTTTATCAACTATTTGCTAAATAAATATCGTTTTGGATTTTTTTTACATATTTTTCCATTACTACCCTCATTTAGCTAATAAATACATCACTTCTTTTCATAATCACTCTTCATCTTTTTCTCAAAACATTCATCTCTATCTTCATTAAATAAGGTTATTATCGACAAAAAAAATATTCTTAATAGATGTGCAACATCCCAAAACGACATCTATTTAAAATAGGAGGTAGTATGAATTATTGAGATGAACTTAGTAATAAAAGCCACAACTTAAAAGCCACAACCTAAATAAAAGTCACATCATTTATTGCTCCCTTACCCACAGTGGACACATGTTAATATGTCCACCGCTTATGTAGCATGCACATATTAGTGATGTTAATATTTTCAAAAAAATACATCACCAATATGTGCATGCCACATAAATGGTAGACATATTAACATGTGCCCACCGTGGATAGGGAAGCATTACTCTAAATATAAACCTGATGCTACTACCATTTACCATCATAAGACCATAAGGTCAACAGTCAGCTAAAAAAACAAAATGAAACAACAAAAAAAAAAAATCCAAACTGACAAATAGCAAATAACATAGGCCTGTTATATAAAACCAAGTTTTGCTATTGTTTTATAACTTTAATCACTCAAAAACCAGATAAAAATACTTGAAGAGTACATCTTGGAACAGGAACCATAATAGGAATTCTTGGTTTGGTTCTGTAGATATTACGAAGAAGACAAGCGAAATATAGTTTGTTAATTCTTGGGACCAATGTCTTTGAGGGCACAGATCTGCTCTTCTCCCATAGCACACATAACAGACACCACAAGATCCTTTCCTTCCTCGAACCCACTTTTAATCTGCACGTAAATCAAATGATAAAGGTTACATCTGAACGCTACAAAAACCACTGTCCGAATACTAATAATAATATCTACGTTTTAGCATTTTCTAACGTCAGCTTGTTTACTTTTAAATTTGCTTCATGATGATGGAATTTAAAAGAAAGGAATGTTTGTGTTACTAAATTCTAATTATGGTGTGAATCTTAAAATTAATTGCTCAACATATTCGATTTCCATAAATCAATTCCTCTACAGGCGAAGTGCTAGCGAGCATTGATTCTAAGTAAAAATGATGCACAACAGCTTTCAATTCAATGGTCAAAATACCTAGCAAAACGAAAAAGGAACAAAATACACACACACACACAAAGTTGTTCACCTGAGAAAGCAGATTCTCATCGGTAGGAAGCCTCAGATCATCTTTGGTGTTACCATTTTCAGTCAGAAGAGAGACCTACAACACACAACCTTAATTTATTCAAGATTTTCTAATGAAAAGAATAAAATAAATAAATAAATAAAGCTGTAATTCCCCTTGACAAATTTCAGTGTGAAAACAGAAAAACTAAAAAGCTTTCAAAAGAAAACCAAACAGCTTCATTATGTAGTAAACAAAATGTGGAGTTGTAAAAACGTTAATTAAAAGTGAAAACTAAGACATAATCTCTGAGCAAGTGCACCATCAGTCATTTAGATGACAGTTCTCGATTGAACTTTATTGACTAGTTCAATAATATGATGCGAAGAACAGGTATGTGAATATCACGAATAGTAATTAATACTACCAAAAAGCAATGCTGTAACTTCAAGTGGCAAACCAACTTCTTAGTGAAAAATAAAAATGATACAAAATAAGCGAGGGAGTACTTACAAAACCATCTTCGGAGATGTCTATAAGCTGATAATCAGTACGGTTCACATGAGGCACCTGAAAAAAACACATCAGACTATTTTGTTCGAAAAATTTGTGTTATTTAACACAATTACGGAAGCTTCCATAAGAGAATCTCAGGGAGAAAAGAAGTTAAAACAAAAGGAATAATTTAATAACAAATTACATCACAGTTGTGGGATGATGGAACAATATCTTCAAGCTTCTTGCCATTGAATATGTCAATAGCCACAAAGTGACACTTGGCGTGTCCATGCTTGCCGGTTTTTGAAGTAGAGACTTCAACAACCTACTCAAATGAAAAAGGACAAAAATAGATATCAGAATCAATGTAATCATGGATAAATAGTACTATGGCAAAAGTTTATGGAAAGGCATATGTTGTATAGATGCATATCATTTGATATTGTCCTATCAAACGTCGAAAAGACACAAAATATAAGTATCTTTATAAGACGTTTAAAAAAAAAACACCTCATCAAGAGGCATGTTGAATGTGCATTACAATAAAACATTACACAATATCAGAAGGAGAAAAAGGAATTTAAAGAAGTACACCAAATCTCAAAGGAGGTGAAAAGAAATAATCGCAAACAGGCCGCGCCAATAAATACAATCAACATAAAAGATGATTATTGACCATTCAACTGGAAGATGGACGTCATAAATTTCATTAAGTAAACAACATGACTGATTGTTATCAGATCCTTAAAGCTTAAACAAAGAAGCAACTATGCAAATCACAAAGCCATAGGCACTAGGTTATTCACATTTCACTGCACCTAGAAAGATTTGAGGGACCCAAAGACAAATCTAAGCCGCAAAACCGAAGCTTTTCTCGTTTATAACACAACACAATAATTTTGCACAATCCCATCTTCAATAAAAAAGGGAAAAACTGTCAAACAACCAATAAACAGAGTTACAGAGCTGTAGTCTATGCAGCAGTCTACCACAATCTAGAAAAATAACTGCAAACCCAAAACTCATCGCCATAATAATTCATGTCTAACTAGATATAATAATTCAAATCAACCTAATAATACGGATCAGGGAAAACGAACAAAAGATCAGACAAAGACAAACCCTAAAACCAACGAAAATTAACCAAACCAAATAAATTCCATAGAAACAAGATCTGATGAAATCAAGCCCAGCTCAGACACAACAATATAAACAACGATAAATCCATGAAAATCCTATCTTTAAACTGAAACCCACAAAAAAAGAGGGCATAAATGAACGAATCGCAACCTTGCAGGGCCTGCCCTTGATGACTATGTGGCCGTTTTTGCGAATGGTGCCAGCTTGCTGAGGGTAGGTCTTGGATGCGCCGGCGTCCGCCTTGGATTCGAAGTGATGCTCCTCGTCCGACATCTTTATCTCTCTCTACGGCTTTGTTTCGCTGTTTCGAAGAGAGAAATGGTTGACTGCTCGTTTGTTTGTTTTCTTAACCTTCTGAATCCCTTTCACCTAACAAATGCAAAGTTATATGCGTCTTAGAATTTTAGCCCTTTTCGGCTCTTTTCTTAATATTTAAACGAAAAAAATATGAATATTGAAATATAAAATAATGCAATTTTGACATAATTTTTTTTTTATATAATGAATGACATAAATGATGTGTAATATAGAAATTATTAAGGAAAATAATCTTTTTCACCCAATATAAAGACACATTAAATTTTTCACATAGCCCAATAAAAAGCTAAGAGTATGATTGTTTATAAAATATTTCATCCAAAATATTTCATTTTGGTTAACTATGGTCAAAGTTCAAAAAGTAGTGTGTAGAGGTGGCCAGGTGCCTGGTCTGGGCCCGGCCCGGTTGGGCCCGTAACCTGCCCGACAATTCCTATGGGCCGGTTCATTTGAACCGGCCCGGCTCGGCCCGGCGGTTCAACGAACCTCCGGGTAAAAAAAAATTAAAAAATTAAAATAAAAAAACAACTATGGCCCGTTGGAAAAATCGAAATCGGCCCGGCCCGACGGGTCAAAAATTGATAAAAGAAGGCCCTTAACAGGCCCTTAAGAGATTCCGGGTCGGTTCATAACCGTGCTTATACGGGCCGGGCCACGGGTCGGGCCCACCTGTGGTCGTGTCTGGTAGTGTGGTTAATTATTAGTGGGATTTAAAAAATATATTAAAATAATATTTAAAATAAAATGATTAAAATTAATTTGATATAAAGTAAGAGATAAATGATTGATTTAAAATTTTGTGAGTGGATGAATAGTGAATTAAAGTTGATGTGATGTAGAATGATTGGTTTTTATTATTTAATTATATGAATAATATTAAAGATACTGGGGTTGAGTTAAAGTTGAGTTAGATTTTGAGTTGATATTTTTGGAGGTGAAATATTTTGTAAACAATCACCCCCTAAGTTTTTCACCCCGGAAAGTGCGAAGGTTATGCGAAAACTGTCGCATATTCAATGCATAACTATCGCATATGCGAAGGTTATGCGAAAAACTGTCGCATATCAATTGCATAATTGTCACATATTCATCGCACAATGCCTTCGCACTTTAACTTTTTTTCATCCCAGAAAGTACGAAGGGATATGCGAATGCCTTCGCACTTTTAATTTTTGCACAATGTCATCGCGCAATTGTCGCATATTCATCGCACAATGTCTTTCGCACTTTCTAGGGAGAAAAATTTAGCTTTTTATTGGACGGTGTGAAAAATTTAACAAGACTACAAAACAGAGTGAAAATGCTATTTTCACAATTATTAATCTCAATTTTCAAAGTTGTGTGATTATAAATCAATTTAATCTGTTAATCAAGTAAATCTTACAAGTATCCGTACTCCGTAGTATTCGTGGATGTCTAAGGGTATGTTTGGTTCAAAGGAGAGAAGGAGAGGGGAGGGAATTTAATGGAAGGGAGGGGAGGGGAGGGAAAGGGAGGAAAAATAATTTATCTTGTTTGGATGGATTTTGTAGGAGGGGAGGTGAAGGAAAATGATTAACCTTGTTTGGTTAGAAGATGGAAGGGGAGGAAAAATAATGTTAGAATGACAAATATATCCTTAATGATGTAAGGAACAAAAAAAATAAAATAATTCACAGTAAGGTCAAAAAAGTAATTTGTTGTTAAAATTTTTCCTCCCCTCCAAATTCCCTCACTTTTGGGAGCACATTTTCCCTTGGAGGAGGGAATTGAAAGGAAAATTTAAACCCCTCCCCCTTACAAAAAGTTGAACCAAACAAGGAGAAATAAAATTTTCCCTCCCCTCCCTTCCCCTCCCCTCCGTTTCCCCTAACCAAACATAGGCTAAAGGAAAAACAAAAAATAAAACAAGATTTGAATAAGGATTTTTACGGAGAAGTAATTATTTATGGGTGATTGTTTATGATTCTAACTAGTTTTTATTTGATTTGTTTTTTAAATATATTTAATTTTTTTTTAAAAAAATAGTATAGTTAGTTGTTTGTGGATATATTAAAATAATATTTAAATAAAATAATTAAAGTTGATTTGATATAAAATGAGATAAAAATGATTAGAAATGATGATTAGTTAAAATTATGTGAGTAGATGAATAGTGAAATAAAGCTGATACGATATATACGAATGATATGGCTGATATTATTAGTACGTAGCTCGTGCGATGCATTGGGCATATGTATTAAATGAGTCATTTCCACATATCTTGTCCGTTAAGTAGTTCGCGCGATTCACGGGAGATATTAAATGAGTGGACCATAGAGCTTGTCCGTTCAGGCCTAAAAAATAATAGAGTTTGATCATCTATCTTTTTACATCTTTTCATCAAATTTATTTTTTTTGTCGGAACATTAAACATGAGTCTGGTAGCGCTAGCCCGTAAATTAATTAATATATTATCTCGCTCACATGTTTATAATAATATAAATTTTGATTTCATTATATACATTTATTCCTTGATATAAGAAAAATTACAATTTTACGTAATATTGTTCCTCGTATAATACTCATATTATTTTATTATAAAATTTATTGTAATATAATGTCATTATTATTATTTATACAAGTTATAGATGTAGTCTTCTTCTTCTTTTTTGTTTTATGTAATTAAAATATTTAATGTATGTTCATATTATTTATTAATGTGATTAATTTCAATTATGTAAATAAATTTAAAGTAAAACATTTTGTACAAACATTTTACAAAATATACAAAAAAAATTTTTAGAATTTAATTTTTTATAATAAATAAACATCTTTGAAATCCTATGCAATTATTAAAACCGATTAAATCTGCTTTATTAAAACCGAATAAATCTTTATTTATATGCTTGACATTAGAACCTATTTTATGGGATTTTTTTAACTAAACCGATGTTATGGATAAAACAAATCTATACTTAGCTTTGACTTTTCCAGCAAAGGTAAAAAAAATCGGTTCTGATTTTTATCCCATAACAAATCTTTAATGTAAAGCCTATAAATACCAAAATAAATATATAATTAATGTCATTCTATTTCTAGTAAGCATTAATTATCTTTGACTTTTATGCTTACTATTTCTAGTATATATGATGACTTTGTATATAAGTATAGATTATATTGATAATAGGTTTAATTGTA